GTTCTCCACAATGATGTTGACGGCGTTAGCCAGGAAGAGACCTGTCACTACAGTCATCTGCATGAAGCCGGAAAAGGAGGCCACGCAGCTCCTTGGGAGCCATCTCGGCACTAAACAGAGGCAGTGAGAACGACGAGTTACCCACACCGAAGCCCTGAATCACACGGGCAATGTACATGAGACCGTGCTCCTGTGCCTTGTTGAAACACACCCACGATGTACCAATGCAGAAAAGTAGACCGGCCGTGAAGATGGTCCAGCGCCGACCTAGCTTGTCAGCCACAATACCACCCACAAAGGCTCCGCCAAGACAGCCCAGGTTGTACGCCATGTTGTACCACACGGTGAAGTCCGTCCATTCAGCCGGCAGGTCCGAGGCCGAGGCAACGCATTGATCATACGTGAAGTTGTGCCAGCCGACGCAGTAGTCGTAGATGAAGGAGTCCATGATGAGAACGCCCGAGGTCACACCCTGATCGTAGCCGAAGAAGAGGCCACCCAGAGTGGCGAAGACGCACACGATGATAGCGTAGGTGCGCGAGCCCTCAGTAGGGACGTCATCGTCGTTATTGTGGACGTTCACCACGACGCCGGCAGCCATTGTGGAGTGGAAAGAAGCTGGAGGAAACTGCTGTGCAAGTCGGTAAGGCGGTAAATCGCAGAATGAGAAAGGGATCGGTGGGCAGGATTCGAGATCGCGCGCTGCTAGGATGGTAGCAATAGACTGCGTACATGTATAATGTAAGGCACAGGTACTAGTGGAAGAGCATCCTTGCCTCTCACTAGATATCTGCAGACTTCACCCCCACCCGCTACAATGGGCGGAGCGTAATCCACGTACGCAAAGTCTGGACGAGCACGTCTACTGTTCTGCAGTCACACTGAGGTGGGGTGTACTCTCTCACGGTACACGTACAACTTTTTGCGGTGATATACTTGAAGCTTCAGTGTGCCGGTTGAAGTTCGGGATCGCCGGGACATTGTCGTACAATCGTGAGTTGGGCGTCAGTGAATACTTTCGTTTTACAGTACCTGTATTTTCTTGTACAGAAGTCCGCGTAGGGGGGACCGAGAAACGATCTTAGAGGGTGATAAAACAGATGTTTTAAATGTACTGATATTTAGTTAAGAAGCGAGGCGATCTTGCTCCTGTCCGACAGAATGCCTGCGTGCCGCCAGCAGTTCTGAATGGTTTTGGGCGAGATCTCGTCGTAGGCCATCTTACTCCAACAAAGAGCGGTGTACTGATGATGCAGGTAATGCAAGAATTAGTTGAAGCAGCGCAAATTTAGAATCCGAGTTTCTCTAGATTTTGTTTGCACGTGAGTTCTGTTTCAGCAACTTCAGAAAAGCTTAGGGCCCGGCACACCAATGGGACTGAAGTACATGTATATTGAGCGTAACCGATTGTTAGACGTGGCGGTGCTTGAACTTCGGAAGCTGCACAGTCAGTGCGTAGCTTTCACTTTTAACTAATTTCGCTGGCCGATTCCAAGCAAATCGCAAGCAAGTTGAGCTCCATTCCAACAGAAGTGCAGTCCAGCTGTGTATCAGGGCTTGCACCCTTGATTTATTTTAGTCTGTAGGCGCTTTTTTTCTTTTAGGCGGTGTGCTACTTTGTCGATTGCAGCTGGCGGCTACGTTATGTAGTTTTAGACACCTTGCGCAGTACGTAAGGTGTTTAAAACTCCACAGGATTAAGCAGCATCGCGCCGATTTGATACGATATCAAGCAGATATCGGTACTATTCCATGTGCGCGTGTATTGCGTACTTTGAAGTGCATACCATTGCGTAGTATTAGTCACTCACTAAGTGGCAAGTGCTCACAGACTGTGAGTCACAGTTGCGAGTACACAACTTGTGACGAGTACGCACTTGATTTATTGTCGACGTGACGCTGTAGGAATGATTATGGAGGTGGTATGATTATGGCTGCTTTTTGAGAAGACTTCAATGTAAAACTGCACCTGTATTTCTGAACCTTTGAATTGCTAAAGCGATTTAGATGCAGTGAAAAACCATGTATACACGTAATAGGAAGCGGGCTCGAGTTGACTAAAAGATATAATGTAGTAGACTTCACGATCCTGCACTTTAGTTTGATCTTTTAACTTATGCACGCATTTTTTTAAGGTGCTCCCAAGTACACAATACCATAAGTAAGGGGTGCCTCCAGACTAAAATAAATCAAGGGTGTGATGCATGATGCATCAGGGAATCTCTGTGCTGGGCTGCATTTTGTTGGACTGGAGATGCTCGTGATTTGGCTGGAATGAATTAATTAAAAGTCCAAGTACCGAAGTTGAAGTACATGAATGTGACCGCCACGTTTAGCAATCAATTCCTGTACAGTACTGTACATGCACAAAACTTCAGACTGAAGTTCAGCCCCTACGTAAGGGGTGAGTAAGGAGGGCCATTCCGCGGAGGGCCATGGGACAGACTGTGCGCAGAGACGACACAAAAAAATCTTTTGTAGCAGTTTTTTATTTAATAAAATCGAGTTATTACAAGCCGTGTTCGTCTTTAAGCGGCGTGTCCGTTGCAATATTTCAGTTTATAAAATCTAATACTAATTTGGCTGTGTCCGTCCCACAGAGGCGTGTCCGTCCCAGAGACGCGAGATATTTGGTCTGTGTCTCACTTTCAAGATGGCGCCCAAGCCCAAACTTGCGCTTCCCGCTTGCGGCTACATAGTCGTCTACCTGGGCCTTTCAGACGAGACTCTTACAGCTCTGAAAACCGAGGCAATGGCTCGAGAGTACGTGGTGGAGCTCGTACTTGCTGGTAACCCAGAAAGTGGGGTCTGACCACATGGTCCATATATGGTAAGTTTGGTTGGGCGATTTTTTTTAAAATCTATCATTTTAAAATGGTTTTTAGAAAGATTTTAATTCTTTAATTTTAAAAATAATTACAATTATAGGTGCTTCTAAAAACTCTTTCATAAAATTCCATTAATTTTTCACGTCCCCAAAAATAAGGTGTCATAGCTCCTACATCTAAAGCATGACAACAAACAGCTAATAAATGGTTTAAAATACGTGTTATTTCAGAAAATAAAACTCTACAGTACAATTGAGACTTCCTCAATTTGTTTTGACTTACGTAACCTTCAGTACTTAATTCTTGTACCCTTTCTTATTGCCGCTATTCCCTGTATACAGACAGTACCAGTACGATATCACGATGACAATCCATCCGAAAAACGATCCAACTCATCCAAGGATAGGAATTGCAGCTTCACGACTTGTCATCATCTTGGTCGTTTTGATACTTAAGTAATTTCTTTTTATCCATCAGGATATTCAAAAATAAATATATGTTGAGGTCTGCACCACGTCACAGGATTGTGTGGTGCACATAAAAGGCAACTTGCTGTGTCATGGAACATTTGGAGTCATTCCAATCTTCTAGAATTCGAGTGTTGCAGTAGGCAGTGCAGGAAGGATGTAGAGAGCTACACCATTGTTGAAGTAACCATTTCCGATGTGATGCTGACTATCTAGGGGAATATAATTGTGCTATATCATATAGAGATTTCTTATATAACTGGACTGGTTGGTGGAGAATAACTCCCCTCCAGGACACCAGACTATCTAAATCACCACTTCCTCTTTTACGAACTCTACCACACAAGCGTCTTCTCCTTCTACATTCAAGACTTCCTCTTCACTATGGCCGCCTAATCCTCTCTACCTTTGTCCTCATTCAGTTCTGTACTGCCCTAACAACTCTGCGCAAATCATTCCTTCAACAGGTTATCAGTCCAACGCTTCGCCAGGGTACTGACGAGCTGAAAGCGGCAAGACGATGCGCCTCCAAGCCCCAAGGCTCATGAAGGAGATCGGAGAGAAAATCGCCCGACGGACACCAACTCGCGTGAGGCCACGTTGCCAACTTGGCTCCAGCCACTGTGCTGTAGCACAGCATGCGTAGTTATTCGCCATGCTGGGAGGTCATGAAACCCGCGCGCCAGCCATGGAGCTGTAGCGCCGCACGAGACACATACATTCCGTGCCACACCGGCCATTGCCGAGTTGTGAGGCCATGATGCCAGACCAGCCATAGCGCTGTACTATTGCTGCTGGTTGAAAAGCCGTACTAGAAGGCCACAGTGCCTTGTGCTCTACGTACATGTACGCGTACACGTACACGTATACGTACACGTACACGTACACGTACACGTACACGTACACGTACACATACACGTACATGCATTTGATGATGTACAAGTACATGTAGTACATATTTAAGGCGAAGAACTAAATACCGCCCTCACGCACCAGCAGCATTGCTGTAGTGTCACGCCATACTGGGAGGCCAAATGCCCCACTTGCGAGCTATAAAGCTGTGCTTAAAATATTCCAGCTACAAGCTGTGTATTTACTACTAGTATATGTGTACTTAATGAGATACCATTTTAAATATGTACATCTCGAGCTACAAGGCCGAATGGCACAGCTAAAACCTCGCTTAATGCAAAGCTGCAGCAGTCTACTAAATGCAGATCTACGGCTTGTTGAGAACAGGTAATCCACTACATTTTGGACCTGTAAAATAAAAATATACCTTAAAAAAACAAGAAAGAGATAAAATGAAAATGGGCAATTGTCCATACAAACATGTGTCTGGTATTTAACCAAGTTAAGAAATACGCCCAGAAATGTATGAAACTGGGAGGCAACAACGCCGAAACAATTCATTCAATTCGCCAAACTTAAAAAAATTATTGCGGCAAAAGTTTCAAACATTTCCAGCATAAAGAAAAAATCTTCAATACTTTATGACTTTAAGACAAGCCTACACAAGCCTCTGTCTACAGAAAGCAACTATAGTTTTACTGCATTAGTTTCATTTTCAATGGAATCGATAGTTTACAAACCTATTGCTTGCACTTGCGAAGTATAAACAAAATAAAAATCTTCGAAATGAGAAACAACTCCATGAGCCTCTAGGGAGAAAAATAGGAACGACGTTACCGCAACACAACGGCGACAAGACGACAGCTCTTACGGCAACACATCTGCCCCTTTTGACACAAGGAACAACATAAAAAATGTGTCAAAGCAACACAGCTCGGTAAACTATTATCCGGGGTCTGATAGATTACCGTTATTGTCAAAGTTACCACTCCGCTCATTCACAAAATTTACATTATAAGTGCTCATTCATCATTTGAAAAAAAAAGACTCGCAGTGACCAAGCCAGCTTGGGCTCCATGAACGATTCAGCTAGCACCGACCGGACGCATTCAACTGGCGACGATCCCCCGACGCAATCTCCGCCACAAGGAGCGGATGTGCAAGGAGCTGCTACGGTCTCGACTGCAGCAAATCGAGCTACTGGGGGAGAAGCTCGAGCGACTTTCCGAGTTTTCGCTAAAGCTGATGGATCTCCATGAGGAGATTGCTGTTATACTCGCACGCGAAAAGCATGATACAATGCGTCTAGCAGCTGCAACCGGGGCTTCTGCTCACGACGTCGGATACGTTGTATCGTATGCTATGGCGCTCGAGGAGTGCTGCAGTATTTTGCTGGATCAGGCTTTGTAAACGAATTACAAAAGCGATAAAGAAGGCATAAGGAGGTTTACGTA